GAGAGTTCCAGGTTCGAACCTGTAATAAAGATCCTTGCTGCTTAGCTTTGACTCTGGACTCTGGTGGTCTTCTTCGGGGAATAAACGGTCTGGGCATAACAGAGGCTCAGGCGGGAGGATCGCTTGAGCCCAGGAGGTCGAGGCTGCAGTGAGCTGCAACTGTGTCACTGCACTCCAGCCTGGGTGAGAGTGAGACTCTGTCTCAAAAAAAGAAAAAAGACTGTTTTTTTGACATAACCACAATGCCACACTCACACTTAAAAAAAGAACAACTCCTCACCACCACTGGGAATCTAGCTAGTGTCCAAAATTCCCCCATTTCCCCACCACCAATTTTTTATTGTTTTGAAGTCTCACCATGTTGCCCAGGCTGGTCTCAAACTCCTGGGCTCAAGCGATCCTCCTGCCTCTGTTGGGAGCAAGCCCCCCAAAAACTGGCCATAAATAAAATCTCTGCAGCAATGTAACACGTCCATAAAGGCCATAAGCCCTAAGCTGGAAGGTTGTGGGTTTACGGGAATGAGGGCAAGAACACCTGGCCCGCCCAGGGCGGAAAACCACTTGAAGGCCTTCTTAAGCCACAAACAAAAGCCTGAGCGATCTGTGTCTTAAGGGCGTGTTCCTGCTGCAATTACTTCGGCCCATCCCTTCGTTTCCCTTAAGGGATACTTTTAATGAATTTAATATCTATAGAAACAATGCTAAGGACTGGTTTGCTGTTAATAAATACGTGGGTAAATCTCTGTCAGCTCTGAAGGCTGTGAGACCAGATTCCCCACTTCACACCTCTACGTTTCTGAGTGTGTGTCTTTAACTCCTCTAACGCCACGGGGTTCAGGTCTCCAGACCGACCGAGCTGACCTTGGCCTCCCAAAGCTCTGGGATTACAGGCATGAGCCACCGGCCGGTCCCTCTCATAACTTTTTAGAGCTAGTTTGGTGAGATCAGCACCTTGGGTCACGACATGCCCTGAGCAACCACCGCCCCTTCTACGGACCCTTCGCCACAGCGGCACGGGCACGGCTGCAAGGCCGGCTTGCTGGGCACCTTGCTGCCTGCCAGGCCTTCTCACCTCATCAGACCAGCCGCCCCGTGTGTCCCTGTAGCCACAAGATGGGCTCTCCCCTTGCCTGCTCATGCCTCAGTCACTTGGCTCCATGCCCACCATCTCTGGAAGGTTCTAGAACATGGCAGGCACACGCCCCCTCAGGGCCTTGGTGCTCCTGCTCCAGACTTTCTGCTCCCCACACCAAGTCTTTGCCGAAATGACCGGTCCCTCAGGGTCATCTTTCCAGCCCTCCTGGCACTCCCAGGCACACCCCATGACCCTGCCTGGCCCGGCCCTCCTCCCCGGCGCTTCCTGGCTCTGAGGGGCCATGGGCTGAGCTTGTTCCTTCTGCTGTGTGAGTTTCAGGGGTCAAGGCTTCTCCCGCCCTGGTCACTGCTGTCACCCAGCAGGAACACGGCACAGGAGGCATCTCCCTAACAGGTTTGCTGAGTGACACGTGACGGGTGGACAGGCATTGCCATGACCAGTGTGGCTTCCACTCAGGTGGGCTGAGGCTACAGCGGGGCCTGGGCAGGGCTGAGAGTCCCCCGTTAAACACAGGACCCCTGCAGCAGCGGGTGGACCTGCGTAAGCCCCATTTTCTCAACATGTCCAAAAACCCAGGGCTCCCAGAAGGAAAGACAACAAAGTGGAAAGCAGAGAAGAATGGCTCAGGACCTGCCCACAGCCTCGCCAACGCCGGACAACAGCAGAGAAAAGCCTCAGGGCAGCTGCGCACAAGCGCGTGTCCGGGTCAACCTGCCAAGCCGCACACCTAAGAAAGGGTGGTTTTGCTATCTGCAAAACACAAAGGCCAGATTACCCACCCGTGGAGCGTGAGCCGGAATGAGGTACTGACAGACACGCAAAGTCTCTCCCAAACCTGTCCCAGGAAGCTTCTGGAGGTGACTTTGTGAACACAGGACCAGCCCCGCCCGGCCCTGTCCTGGTCATGAACCCGGCTCTGGGCATTAATGTTCAAGGCACAAGTCTAGGACTGGACCAGGCTGTGGAGGGGCTGGGGGCATTGGGGACAGCCCACCTGGGGGTGGTGTGGGGGATGATGTGCAGAGGCTGGGGGCGTGGGGGGCAGCCCACCTGGGGATGGTGTGGGGGATGATGTGCAGAGGCTGGGAGCGTGGGGGGCAGCCCGCCCTGGGGGTGGCATGGGAGCTGGTAGGGAGGTTGGAGGTGTCGAGGGCAGCCCTCCTTTGTGGGGGTCGTGGGGGCTGATGTGTGGAACCCTTGGGAGCAGACACGGTTTTGCCCAGAAGCAGTGGAATCAGGACAGTCAGGCGGCAAAGATGAGAGGGCATATGATAAGGGCAACACCCAGGCTACCCCGAGCCTGGAACCAATTAAGCAGGAGTAAAGGCCTGCGCCCACTGCCCAGGCCCTGGTGACTGTGACCGAGGGCGCCTCCCACTGCCCAGACCCTGGTGATGGTGACCGAGGGCGCCTCCCACTGCCCAGACCTTGGTGACGGTGACCGAGGGCGCC